AAGTTCCCCTCCAATTCCAAAGCCATCGGATCAGACCTTTAGATGGATAAAAAAATAAGAGCCCTCAATAAAGGTTAGTGGAAAATCTCTTCAGAGTTACAAAAAACCATTCTTGAACCCTTTTTAAATAGCTCAAGATTTTACGAAAAAGTGTTTTTAACATGGTATCAAACTTGGCTGACCATTGATTAAGTAGTCCCCAGGTTAATCCTACACAGCCAAAATCTAATAATTAAGATTCCAATTCAAAGTTTCATGCACTTCCTGTTACTCAATTCATAACCTAGAGTTTTTTTTTTTTTTTTGGGGGGGGGGATTAGATTTTCCAGCTCACAGGAAGCATTTGCTATCACTTAGCCATGACCCCTTTTCTTAGAAAAACATGTAGCCACTAACACTGAAATAGTACAAAAAAGAATTCACAGACATAAGGTAAAATCGAGTGAGACAGCTCTTATAGTTGTCGTGATGCTAGGACATGAACTTTATCGAACATAATCCAAATAAGTAGGTTGATAACTAGGGTGCTTTTTATCAAGTAATGACGGTAAACTTGACATTATCTATCTGGTTCTTTTTCTCTCAATGAAACATGCATACTGCTCTATCACTGAAAACCCTACATGTCCACAAACAATGAAGTAGTCTTGTAGCCGGATATTGCCAAAGATTGGTCTGAATCTAATAATTAATTTATTTCCTTTGACAACAGACGGGGAAACTGACGCTACAAAGTGATGTTTTATGCTTTGGTGTTGTTCTTCTTGAGCTTTTGACAGGACGTCGAGCTGTAGATTTAAACCAAGGTCCAAATGATCAAAACCTTGTATTACAGGTAAAAGAAAATATATATACAGAAGGGTATACAATTCCTTGAGGAAGTCAAAGCAACATATTAAACCCAGAAAGTCACCAATGCTATTACTTTCTTCCATTCCAAAACACTTGGTCATTCAATTACTAATAACTAGTTATTTTCTTCAGTGAATTTCCTTTGTTTCCAATTTTGTTCAGCATCCCTAAATATGTGTGTAGTAATTGTCCATATTCCCATCATAAAACATTCTGGTTTACAAGTTTTAAAGGACGGGGATTGATATTGTCCACATTGACATATAGGTGAGAAACATACTGAATGACCGCAAGAAGCTCCGCAGGGTGATAGACCCAGAAATGGCACGAAATTCTTATACCATGGAGTCCATAGCCATGTTTGCCAATCTTGCATCACGATGTATCCGCACAGACAGTAGTGAGAGACCTTCTATGGCAGAATGTGTAAAAGAGCTGCAAATGATTATCTACACTAATTCAAAAGGCTTGGCAATGGTTATGCATAGTTTGAGAATGATCTAATGAAATCCCATGTTTAAGCACCAGGCAAATGATGGTTTTCTATCAGGAATAAAGATTCCTATTATTCAGACACCAAGCTAAATTATGACCAGGAAGAAGTATTTGGCATAATTATATATGATGCATTGCAATTTGGATGTTCCTAAAGGGCCTCCCCTGGTCTGTTCTCCTGCTCTCATCCTTTGGTTTGTCGCAGGAAAAATGTACTCAAAGGACCAATACAAGAACAGACCACTTTTCTGGAAAATGTCCATCTACTAACAGTACCATTTTGTTGTGTTGGAATTATTGACTTGATTCCACAGATTGGATGAACATTACTCAAATGTCTATATATACTTTATAATATCAATATTTGATTACATTAAAGAAATTCAGAGTAATTAGCATTTCCATAATTCATGCACTCTAGTACTGCTAAATTTTATCAAGAAACATGTCCCTAACTCAACTATAATGTTTTTGTTGATGGACACTTCAAGATGATCAACACTATAAAATCTTTTTTTTTTCTTTGCCAACAACACTATAAAATCTACTATTCTATATTGAAAATGTTATCTAAAAAAACACTTTATAGATTGTCCAAGAAGAAAGAGTAATTCACAAAACTAAAGGGGAGGAAACCCAGAAGACTAAACGTGGTTTACCTGCAACACAATGTTTCTCAGCCCTATAGATAGGCGGATACAAATAGGGATCCCTGAACCACTGATTTGATCCCTACTCATAATTCAAACCCCCATGACCATCATTGCTACCACTTCTGAAACATGCAAAAGAAAATAATAATAATAATAATAATAACAATAATAATAAAAATAAGAAAACATATTAGAGGACATATTCAATTATATAATCATGAGGGAGTTAAAAAAGAAAAAAAACATGAGCTTCAAAGCAACATACAACAATGAAAGTTTCATCTTAACCAAATAATTTGAACCTTTGCCTGTATTCATGCAGAAGACTTTTCTGTATCAGATTCTGGAACGTCTAACTTTGGAGGGTTACTTAAGAGAGGGAGTTTCTTGCGCATCAGGTACTTGCGTCTCTGCAACATCAGCAGAACTAATACACTATCCGTCTTTACAATTTTGTAATCCGCTTTTTTATACATGTTAAGGGGAGCTGCATCTATCATTCTACAGTGTAAATAAACTTCTCTTGAGGAACTCATCTGAGAAATTAGCTCCTCACTTGCCTTTAGAAGATGCCAGCCAATGCCCCTCCTGCAAGGAAGTACCAGAAACACAAGCTTAGGATGCAAACTTTAAATGCAGCGCCATCCAAAACGTTAGGCAGACATACTAAAGGATTTAAGGGGAGCACTACTGCAAGACTTATGAGGATAACATTATGTTCTAGGTTCCACAGCATGTGTATTATCATGGAAAAGGGATGATAGAAATGGTAAACAACTTAATTCAAAATAAAAAATTAAAACTAAAAAAACTCCTATTTCTTGTTTTGAGTGTACATGCTATGGAATGTATAGAAGTCATCAAATAGCCCATTGATTTGAAAATTACAGAAAAAACCATCTAAAGAAGACAGAAATATGGATGACATTGATGGCAAGAATTTCAGGCTTTTTCTTAACATCATCTATAATTTCAATTCAAGTGGATCATCACATCATCACAGGCACAAGTGGCGGCACAACCATGCAATTGCAAACTTAATCAACTTCTTGAAATCCAAGACTTAATAATAACAGGACACGTGGAATAATACTCAGACTAAAAGTATTACCACAAGGATGAAGCCATTTGGTCATTGCAATAATGAGATTACTATTAACATTTTAAAATAGAGGATGATGAAGACATCAGAAATTTTATTGTCTAAATTCCACGTTTCCTAATTCAAATTTCGAATTGCTATAAATAAAAGGTACATCTGGAACTAATATAGGAGCACGTCAGACTTGTCTTTTTCCTCCATCTGTCTGCGGACAAGCACACCCAAGGTAGAATTGGAGACTCCAGATGTAAAATAAACTCAGTATATAAAAGCCTAGATTTAAAAAGACTAGTCATTTCATGTTCTCACGATTCTACAAAAGATTTTAATGATTAGAACACATTCAAACTATTCCATCAAAAAGGGGGCGGCGGAGAACAAATTCAAATTACAGTACATGGAGTGATTTAGAGAGGTCAAATAGAAGACACAAAGTAACAACTTAAACTGACAAGAGTAATCTAAGTTTTTCCAAATACGACTGTTAGACCTATGTGTTGCGCAAGATGAATCAATACAAAAAGGTTTCAAGATTCGGCCCAGTTGAATGTTTCCGACCGTGACAATATGATTCAGGTATCAACCAAGTGACTTAGTTCGTTACTTTAACAATTTATGCCTTTTTTTCCTGAGCAGGTATTGATAAATCCTCATTTCCAATAACAGAAGTCTAAGCCCCGCATGCTTTTAAATCATTGCGGTCGGAAATTTAGGAGGACCCAACGAAGAAAAATTGAAAACTATCCTATTTCCTAGACAAGGAATCAATTATCAAGCATGAATACCGTGATTGTGATAAAATCAACACGAGCACTAATCCAAGAGACACACAGGAAGTAGCTTATTTGATGGATAAGTTGATTAAGGAAAAGAGCACCTCCTCAGAGAATCTTTTACTGCCATATTACATATGTAAGGCGAATCTTTGGGAGGCGTGGGTGTTGGAGGTGAAACATTGGCACCTCTCTTGTTAAAACAAACCTCCACCGTCCCTGCTAACTGAACTTCTTGTTCTTCACCGCCTTCCACCGTTTCTTTGTAAAATCCGATAAGCGTGGCCATGTGCGGCATTTGAACTTTCCTCTCAACCAAATACTGCTTTACCAAAAACTTCAACACAGAAACATAACCTACGGGTAACACCATTGACTCAGCAAATGATTCGGCAAGCAACCCAATGGTCATGTCCATTTCCTCCTCCCCCATTACCCGAACCCGCAAAGACCCAGATTTCAATTCCTTAAAATATACGAAATTTTCAAGGAATTTGAGCTTTTCGAGCTCATCATTACTCAAAAATCGACCGATGCGAAAGGGGTCTTGCTGGCACGAAGAGGTTGGGGTTGAAAGTGTTGTTGAAGAATGAGATGAAGAGGAAGATGAAGACTTAAAGTTGAAGCTGAACGTGCCATCTCTATGGAACGTGGCAAGTGGGTATTTGTAGATGGGTGATAGCCGAGTAAAGAAACGAGATTGGAGATGTCTAGGTACAGAAGACGAGGGGAGACGAGAGGGATGGTGAAGCTTCTGCGGATCCAAAGGAAAGGAAAGCGAAATGGTTGCAGCCATGGAATGAGAACTGAGAAGGGATGTTGCTAGCTCGGGTAGCAGAATCAGTTTTCAGAAAGGACGTGAAATCATGAGAAGAGCAGCAGAATCGCATATCACCATTCATGTGTCATCTAGGAAAAATAGAGCAGTGGTGAAACTCGAAAGCAGAGCAGAGAACGAAATCCGACCACCAAATCTAACTGGCCACAAGGTCCATCAAATGATCCGAGTTCTAACCATGACCAAATAGGTAGCTTACAAGTTACAAGGCCCATTCTTGATGGATATATCTTCAGGGCATGCAAATATATGGTATTTGTTAATCAGAGGTGTACCTTGCAATTTTCTTTCGGCCTAAGACGGAGATGTGCGTTGCTTTGCGTTATCCACAAGAAGAGTATATATGCCTTCCTTGCTCGTAGTAGAACGAATGAGTCTAAGCTGGTTGTTAATATTTACTCCGTATCAAATTATAAAATATTTTTAAATAAAATTTTATATAGCAATAAATTTATTAAATACACTTGATAATTTTATCTTTTTAAAATAAAAATATAAACTTTTAAAAATATCTATCATTTAATATATTAAAAAGAAAAGGGACTGAAATTAATTATAAAAAGAGAAAGGGTGATATTAAAATTGACGCATTTAATTGAACCTTAATCTACCCAAAATATTTTATATTTTGGGATAAAAAAATTCCTTCAAAAGTGCTATAAATTTAGGACGAAGGGAGTATTATGATTTACGATTTATTATGAACTTGATATATGCATGTATGGATTGATATATTCATTGATATTGATACTGTTAAGTTATTTATATTTAATTATATAATTTAGAATTGATTATATTCTGTTTTTATTACATTTTTTAAAAACAAGTATAATTCAGAATAAATATGGTTTCAAATTATATTTATTATTTTATTTTAAAAATATAAAAAATATAAATATTTTAATTTAATTTAAAGAAGTCAAATGTAAATTTTCATATTTGGAGATGCATAAAAAAATTTGTATTGAATTTAATGAAGTGTAAATATGTTTAATTTATATTAAAATGCATATATATTATAGCATTTTCACTTTAAAAGGGCTCTTTTTTTCCCTCCAAAATTCGATTTCTAAAATTAGTAATCTTGATGTTTAATTTGTATCTTCTTCTATTTTTTTCCCCTTTTATAATGTTTTAACGTCATATTCCAAAAAACTTTAACTAAATAGCCTGGATTTAATGCTACTAAATTATTGAAATCAGTTTTTTTATGAAAAAATCTTAGATAGATCTAGTACATTATGCCATTCATGATTCATCTAATAAAATTATATTAATTTATTCGGATAAAATTTTATGTATCACTATTTTTAGTAATTTTATTTTTAAAATAAAATGCCCATTTAATTTCTTACTTTTTCTCACTCTATTATCATTAATATTAGAATTAATTTATATTTAATGTCATTTAAATATCATATTTTTATCAGATAGATTATAAGTGATGTAGTGCACTGGATTTATTTAAATTTTTTTTGCTAAAGTATATAGTTAATCCTTAATTTTACATAATATTTTTCTTAATCCCTTAATTTTATAAAGTGTTTTTAGTCCTTTAACCTTAACCTTGTGAGTTTTATTCCCAACAAATTTTTACATTAAACTTTTAAATATTTACAAAATATTATCAAACATTGACATATTAAATTTAATTATTTTAAAATAATAACGATTGACATAAAAAAATTATTTAAAACTAACGATGTTGGTATTAAAAGATTAAAAATATATTTTACAAAATTAAAGAATTAAATTAAAACTTTATATAAAATTGAAGAACTAAAAGTATATTTTTACCAAAAAAAAATTTATATGTGTTTTATCAATATAAAACGTTAGGGTAATTTGATTAAAATTAAGCCAACTCAAAGGAATTTCTCATTAAAAGAATCCAAATTCGCGTGATATTATTGTTATAGGCATTAAAAAATTCACGCTTTGTGTGTGTGTAATTAAATGTGTTTAAAATCTTATATCAGCATGTAAGGACAAATATTATTTTTAAAATTAAGAAAGTTTTCTTGCACTTCCTTTCCTTCAAGACTCTGCAGGAAAAAAAAAAAAAAAGCAAAAACAAAGACACACATACAATCAAGAAATATTAACTTCAACGTGATATGTAAAAATTACTCCCTTCACTTAATAAGATAAGACATTTTTTAAAAGATTAAATTAAATGTTTAAAAATATAAGATAATTTTAATATTTTAAAATATAATCATTACTTTTTTTTAAATGTACACTTAATGAATAAATTAATTTATATTTATTTTAAAGTAAAACACTTTATTGAATAAGAATAATATAAAAAAATAATATTAATTTAAAGATAAAAAATTATTTTATTAAAAAATAAAATTTAATTAAAAATATTTTATATTTTTAAATAGAAGAGTAACTTTTCTTTCCTTGTCATTCTTACAGTACATTTTTAAATATCAAAAGTGAGACAAGAAACTTGCACTTTTTACAAAGGATATTTTAAAAAATATAAATTGATTACACTAAATATGTATTAGAGTTTATATTTAGCGGTAAGAAAAGCTGAAAATTGTGATATAATCAAGGGAGGAAGCACAAAGTATAAATATTGCTTTTCCTTCAATCCGTCTCCCCATAATTCTGGAACTGAGAGCAAGAGATAGAAAGGAGAATCACTTTTCCATCAACTCAGTGGAATCACATTCCCGCGCCAACTACACGATGGAATCCATTCTCATTTCTGGGAAATTGAATTTTACCATCATGCCACTTCCCAGTTATTATGTGCAAAATAGATTTTTTATACAGATTCCTTGAACTATGCCATGAGCAATGCTCCTGTGAAATGAGTAAAACAGCACACAACATTGATGACTATCCAATGAAGCAAGGCAGAGAAAGATTGGCCAAGCATTTTGCACACCCTTACAGCTTCACAATCCTAATTGAAAGCATTTTTATACGGATTTAGATTCGATGAGTGTACTTAATGCAAGCACTGAATACCTGTAATATCTGAACCATTAAAATTCAGATCAACTGTTCAAATAAAATAACTCATTTATTAATTTTAAATGGGATATAAATTTAGAATCGTTGATATGGATTTCAACGGTTTAAATACTATATGTATTCAATACCTGTATTAACTAGTCAGTGAATCCAAATCCATTTTGTACCCTTCTAGACTAGCCAACCATCCACATAATAAATTCCAAATATACTATCACTGTCTCTTGGTAATAGTATTCATAATATGCCTTTCCATTTCCAATTTCCCTCGTTAAAATAAAAAATAAAAAAAGGATACATGTGTTTCCAAATCCTCTTCCTTTCCATTATACAGAGGAGAGCCCAAGCAGAATCAATAAAACAATAATCAATCTTCTTCCAAGACAAGAATTGCCTCTCCCCCACATGGAGGAAACATTCGTAAATAATCACAGAACCAGAGTGCCAAACAAGATCTGAGAGAAATAGGATGCCTCATTTCATTCTTCATCCATTTCTGTGCTATTCTCATTCCTCCATTTCTTCACCATTTCCAGAAAAATCTCATTCCATGTGTCTATAGGACCTGGCAAGCACCAATGAACACAATCATTTTGAACACGCTCTTGAACTCCATTGGCAAACGGAAATGCATGCATATAAGGACCTGGATGCCCATCTGGTCTCATCAATGCTAATTTTGTCACATCTAATGCTTCTAATCTAAACCCTTTATACTTATTCAAAGCTTTTTCTTTTGCAGCTCCTACTTCTTCCATCTCAATCTTTCTCATATCACTATCCATTCCTTCTAGCTCCTTCTCTCCCTTTCTGTAAGGCTTGGTCTTTGGACAAGCACCTGCTTTATCCCACTCCCCTTCAAAATGCGCAGGTGAAAATGTTGTCACTGTAACATCAATTGCTTCCCCTTTTGCTGATTTCTTCTCAATGATGCTATTAAGGGCAGTTCTTAAGGCCTTCCTCAACACATCAAAGAACCCTATCTCTGTGTGGTTCAGACCAGGACAATAATGGCAACCTAAGACTGAATCAGCCTCGTAATAAACCGCAGGATGCAAGAACCAGTGCCCTATAGACAGCACAATCATGTCCATTTGACCCATTTCACCTGCCCATCTCTCATCAACAATATCCAGATACAGCTTGTTATGATTCGGACCCCTGCTTGATTTTTCAATACCTTTCACAAGAAATGGAGACCAATAAACCGAGAGACTTACGTTGTGAGAAGAAAAGAGCCACCTGCGAAATTTGTTGTCCTCGCCGTTTCTGTATACAAGGTTAGGGGTTGAAGCAGTGGCAAGAAGGCAGAGAAGGGACTCTAGTTGATTTCTGGCCATGGAATCTCCGACAAAAGCTAAGTGCTTGTTCTTGAGAAGTTGCAGAAAAGCAAGAGGCTCAAACCTGGGGAGATTGCACTGTGTTGGCTTCCATCTCCAGTAAAGATAACCCAAATCTGGTCTTCCATGGGCGATGCAGTTCTGGCCTTCTTTGATTGTACCACAAGTCGTGCCATTATACAAAGGACCTCTTCTGTCACGAACCCACTTGCCATTAAAGTAGTCACATGAAGAAATCAGAGACTCTCCTGCAATGAAATTTCGTCCCAAAATAGAAAAAAACCCATTTTGTGATTAGAATCTGAGACAGACAGAAAAAGGGAAAAGGAAACCTAGAATGATAAAATAGGTGTACCTGCAGAAGAAGATGGAGGAGAAGGGGAAGAGAGAGAGGGGATGGTGATGAGGGTGGAGTGAGGGAGGTCGGCGTCTGGAGAAGGAAGAAAAGGAAGAGGGGAAAAGAATAAGCGAAGGAGAGCGATGGGAAGAAGAATGTAGAGAGTCCATGGGAGGAATTTCTTGGTGAGCAAGAGGGTTTGATCTTTGATTGAGTTGAGAGATACCATATCGGAAGGCGAGGCTCGTTGCTTTCCTTTCCCTGTTCTTGTCCAAGTTTTCAACTTTCTAATGGGTATCTGGTCTATCTATCTACTCTCTACTCTGTCGTTGTGGTGAATGAAATCCCACTAATAGCAATCCCATGATGTTTCATCTAATTTTACAGCGCGTGTCGACTGTGTAGTGCCTTTCTTTCTTGTTTTTTTTAATCACATAAGCATCGTGCACTCTCTCTCTCTCACACAGCTAATCACAGCACACAGGCGTGTCCCCCGGGAGCAACTGGAGGATGTAAAAGTCTTATTTATATTCTTATTTTCTTTCTCAGAATTGATTTTGATTTTTGAAAATATGTTCATTTTTCAATTGGATTTTTTTATTCCTGAGAAGTGTCTTCCAGTTAAAATTGCGACATGGTTAAACACTAAGCATGAAATTAGGTTATTTTATTGGACTCTCGTCGAGGAAACATATGTTGATTTTAGTTTCAAAACAGAAGAACATTGGCGTATCAAATTGAGATGTTACACTTAATTAATTTTGAGAAGTATGATTATGATTATTATTTCTAATTAATAAATTCATTTATCAATTGAAACTTTAGGAACGATAAAGATCGTTGTGGGATTTGCAAGGGCAAAATGGTCCATTCATAGGGGAGGGGAACAGGCCACCGCTCAGTGGCTCGCCGTCATCCACAGAAGAGAACAGGCGTCTTTAAGAAAGAATAAATTTATTGATCTAATTATCATGCTTTATTTTTTGAAGGGAAAAATTAATTTATTGATGTAATTAAATTAATAGAGAATGTAGGAGAGTGCAATGATCCGAGTGCACGGCCAGACTGAAAAAGTAAAACACATTTCTGTGGGAGTTGAGAGGTTAGTGAATCCAATCCTGAACGAAAAGCTCATCAACTGGTTGAAAAAGTTGGAATACTGTTAGTCTTTCGTTTAATAAAGTTGGATTCATTTTAAACTGAGATTCACTCGACTTACATATCATATATTACAAATCTAACAAAATTTACGAAAATGACCACAGTAGCGGATTGTGGACTCGCAGTCACTTTCGATATCGTTGAAGTTGACGGTGATGTCAAAAAAAAAAAATATAATTATAGTGATTTATCTTCACTTGTTATTTTTAATTAATTAATACATACTTCCATGCCATTAAACATGAAATTTAATATTAAAAAAATACACAAATCAAGAAATTATGGAAAATAAAATCTATGCATTGCTATGTAAAACTTTTTTTTTAATTTTTACCCAAGGATAATGCCATATTATTATTTTTAGAAACGAGTATTAAGATATTTTTTAAAACAAATATTAATTATACTTTAAAATCCGTGTCATGTGAAAATTACGAGTTAAGTAAGTACTCCCTTTCATCCTTATTATAGGGTGCTAGAAAAAATAATTAATCCGTAATATAAATCATGTCAAGGGCTACCAATTAATTTTACATTTAAAAAATAAGTTGAAAAAAATATATGTGGCTCTGCTAATGTTGTATTTTTTTCATTCTTTAATAGAGACAAAGTGACATATCATCATCAATATATATACAAATAAAAAAAATAACTCTCATTAATTAATAGATTTTAAGTTAGATTTCATCAATATATATATATATAAATCTTGTAGTTTCAATATGATTCGTCCAAAAAAATTAACTTTTATTAGTTACTAGATTTTAGTTGAAACTCTCATTAGAAGGGTTTTGTAATGGTTCAATTGTTTTGGGTAGTGTGAAAATTTCTCTTAATTTATTAATAAGATTTAATTTATTTTTTTACGATCTACTTTTATGAGAGTATTAATTCAAGAGCAGTCCCATTTTTAAATTTTTCTAATCGTAAACAACAACTCTATCCTGCTATCTTTCTTCATTCGCTATACTTTCTTGTGTTTTTTAATTTTCTTGATCAATAAAATTTAATTTATTTTCATATTTAGTCAAAAATGAAGGGTTATTGAGAATTCTAAAGTTTTTTCTTTTTTTTTTTTTTGCCAATACTTCCTAAGTACTCTAAGAATAAGTATTTTCTAAACAAGTTTTTTACTATAAACTCAAAAAATAAAGATAAAATGTGTACAAATAAAATATTTAATAATAAAAATGATTGAATAGAGGAACTTCTGAAAATTTAATCATCTCAAATGCATCGATATTAAATGATATTGATGATATTTATTTTAAATTATTTAATTATAAGCAGTGTAAAGTATGAAAAACTATCTAATTATTTATTAATTCTGATGTGATAATTGAACGTAATTATAATAAAAATAAGAGGGAGCCTAATTAACGAAGAGCAAGCTGTAAGATTGAAACTTAATTGATGTAGAGAGAGTGAAAGGATGGAGAAGTGGTTGAACCATAATTTATGAAGACAGACCACCTAAAAGGAAGAAAAAGATGGGAAGAAGACACGCACGTCACGTGGAGCTATGAACGCCACAAGCATGTTAAAAAGTCATATACCACTTAGTATTAGGTTAAAAACAAACCAATGTTATTTACTGCCTACGAAATTATGGACTATGTATCCACTTTGAATCCAAGGCACTTCACAGAAAAACGAACACTTTTTTAAAATAAAAATTTATAAACTACCGACGTTTATTAATTTTTGAATTTTGTTACATGTTTTCATTCCATACATTTACTTATATAAGATACATGGAACAAGATAGTTTTATTAGGAAGCAAGAAAGCAACAAAAAAGGGGGGGGGGGGAGAGCAGTTCTGAGCACGAGTAATGATGTATTGAATAACATAAAAAAATTAATCCTGAAGCTGAGAGTAATATTATATTACAGGTCGGTGGAGACAAGCACAGCTCATTGCCATTTGCTAGATTTAGATTTGACATACTCCAAGAAACAACCATCAAATTTTATAAACCAAAAAAAAGAAAAGTCTCATTGAAAGCTATTACTGATTACTAATAAAATTAAACATGTTGAAATATGATTGGGTAATCTAGCTCACAAGATATAACCATATAAAAGATAAGAGCCAATCATCTAAACACTCAAGGTTTTTAAAAATGAATCAGACCGGACCAGCCCGGCCGGTTTGAGTCACCTGTCCAATCATAAATCGATCACCGATCCAATTAACTCCTCTAAACCATGGCATGTTTGAACCGGTAAATCGGTTAAAAAATCTGGAAAACTGACCAGTTGGTTGGTCTGGTCTGGGCAGTTCAAGAAAAAGAAAAGGAAAGAATTCCAGAAAAATGAAACAGTGATCGAAGAAGATGGCTGCTGATGGTGGAAATAAAAGAGGAAGAATTGGAAAAATGATGAATAACTCTAATAAAGGAGAAAGAAACAGTGAATGAACGCAAACAAGACAAACCCCAAAACAAAAAAAAAGGATTGCACAGAGGAAAGAAACAAGAGTTTGTACAGTGTGTTTGGATTCAACATATAATCAATTAATTGGGTTAAATAATTGATTTTAACCAAAATTAATCAAATAGTCAAAAAATTTAATAATTAATCATTGAGTCAGAATTACATTTTAAAATAAACTCTTAAAGGTTGCTTATAGATTCAATTTTATCATTAAATAATATTTAACAAATTTAATAATATTAAATACAATTTTATAATAATTTTGAAAAGTAACATGCTGGTAAAAAAAATTTAAAAATAATATCTTTTATGATAATTTATACAGTTAAAATTAATTTTAAAAATATAATATTTAAATAAATTACATTATAATATAATTAATTATTTTATATTCAACTGAAATTCAAATGATTTCGCAGCTGCATTGCTCTCCTGCCTTCCCTCCAGCCGGTTCACTTTCTTTTCAAATTCCTAAGTCATTTAAACAGTATATTTCCTCCATCCCACCGCCATGCACGCTTCTGAATGTATCGTGATTTCTTTCTGTACTTAATACTTTGGTAATAAAGTGATTAGAGGCGCAGCAACGAGATGAAAAGTTCTCGCGCGAAATGCAGAGGAGTTCAACCCATCAGGTTTAAGATAGCATTATCCCAATATGTTTGAATCATCTAAACAACTAATATAAATTTTAAACAGCATATCGAATTATTATCAATTTATCAATATCAATCGCTAATAATTTTTTGTATTTTTCTTGACAATATCACACACTAATAAAATCATATTTTATTAAAAAATAAAAATTTGATCAGTCTCCTCCTAAAAATTTAATCTTCCAGAATAATATTTAATAAAATGATACTTAATATGTGATATTTAAAATTAAATTAAAAATATATTAAATTAATCATGTCTGGTTTCAACCACGGTTTGATTATCAATCCTTGAATCAATACCTCATTCCATTTAATGATCATTTTGGCTTTTAAAACCATGGAGCACATCCATCTACATTACAACCGATAGACATGTTCCATGGGAGGATGTATGTCGAATTTCTTACTCGAAAGCCTATTTTTTGGGTCATCTTTTTCATCTCATCAAATGCCCAAAGCCAAGGGACACCTTAACCCAAATCTACCAGTTTGGTATCAGCCCATACTAAGAGCCCAATATCCTAACTCGAATTGTGCTGAGCCCCAAGTCCGGACCCGGATGCAGCGGTTCCACAAATAAATGTAATAAAAGCACAGCCCCGACGCAGATTTTCAGTTTCCGGCGACTGCGGAGGGCAATGGCGATGGATGGCAGCAACCCTGAGGACTTGGGCGTGGGGTGCTTGCTGTCGATCAAGACCACTTTTGGCGATGAATTCGAAGCTCAAGTCATCACATTTGATCGCCTTTCTAACATCCTCGTTCTTCAGGAGCCCTCCAAACCAGCTGCTCCTCGTCGCAATATCAGGATGCTGAAGGCTAATTATATCAAAGAGTTCACCTTTTTGGGTCAGGAAGATGACCCCCTTGATCCCAACCATTGTTTCGTTGACCTCACCGCTCTTCGAGCCCGGGAAGAAGCCGCCATCAGGTTCTTCTTCTTCTTCTGCCTTCTGGATTCCCGATTCAACTCTACTCACCTTCACTGTTGGGATCTTTTTACGAAAATCATTCTTATTCCGGCATGATTTTTGTTTCAGACAAGCGGAAGCAGATGCTGAGAGAATTGGGGTTGGTGTCACCAGCGACGCTCAGAGCATTTTTGATGCCTTGGCCAAAACGTAAGCCTCAATACTTATGTTTGTTGTTGATTAAGTTTTACAATCATACAAGATAGAAAATCATGAATTATAGTACATTCCTTTTAATTCCCCTTCTTTCCCTGACTAAAACTCCAAAGATATCCCTAGTGATTATAACTGCTTAAATTTTCTTCTATGAATGAACTCTCTCAAAATAATCAAGAGATCTAAACTCTCTCCCCCGGGTACCATTGTCTAAACATGACCACGTTGGCATGAATATGCGGTCATACTTTAACAAGCTAGCAAAACGGGCAGATGGAGTTGTGGCAGGTTTCATTAACAAGCCAATACATGCGTCTGATTGTGATTTCTTTGCTATGCCTCTTTTCTGGAGATTTGATATTTCTCTGCTTTTCGATTCATTTCTTGAGAACATACAATTCGACTGTTCAGAATGCCTTAATGCTTCTCGTTGCTATTGCTGATCGTCAATATTCTGGAGAGTTGATGTGTCTTTGCATGCACTATTTAGGGTGACTGTATGGTTTGCACCTGTTGTGGAGGCAATTCCACTTATGTAATTATTTCCAACGTTTTATTGTTTTGATCGAGAAACGTGTTGCATACTCGTGGCTATACTTTTTTAAGCTACACTTATTATTCTGGCCGAAGAAAAGGTGCTAATATAAGTATATAACCGTTTCCCTCGTCTCTATAAAATTTGAACGGTGTGCATCGCGACTTGTTTGTCTCAGGGAAAGAAGGCATTTTCCTTTCCTGGCCTTGGGACGGGTGGGTGTTAAAATTAACAGGATGGCCCGGTAAACAGACGAAAGAAGACATATTTTCTGTATAAATGAAAGGGGGGGGGGGAAGCTACTTATTCTACTTTGCGTATGCCTAGTGTTGTATATTTCTGCTGTCTGCAGATGCTAGATTGCTGATATAGCTATATGTTTTAGATGCTTCACTCATGTTATTCCTAAATCTGAAACATCTATCTGTACGTTTAGTGCTGTTAGTTAGTCAAAGACTTGATATTTTGCCATGGTTCCTTTCTACTCTTCCAACTGTGAGTGTTAAATCATGTCATATGCCGTTGTAGAACAGCCTTGAGATGACTCAAGTTTCTTGTCTTGCAGTCGCATCAAAGTTACAGTTCAATGTCTAATGAATAATGACATTGCAAGTTGATTTCGTGCGCCCATATACACAAACGCACATGAATATGAAGTTGTTTCACCTAACAACTGTAGTTATCTAATCATTCTTTGGTCAGAGTTTCAGGTTATTTTGACTTTTAATATGAAAGAAAGCAAAGACAAATCAACTAATGACATTAGTTGACAAGATGCTCAATCCATCTTTCCTACTTCTAATTATTTCTTTCTGTAGATCATTAGTTCAAATTGCGAAGGGCAGTATCTAAAATTTCAAACAGAGGTGACTTTTTTGACCTTCTAAACTTCTTTATGAGACTGAAAGCTCCAGTATGTATCGATGTGAAGCCTATTGATCAGATAGCTTAGATTTCTTGTAAATATTCTTTATGAGACTGTGAAAGCTTTTCCACATTTTTGTAAGGTTATCATTTATGAACCTAAAATTTCAAACAGTGGTACCTAAAATTGCGAAGGGCAGTATCTAAAATTTCAAGCAGAGATGACTTTTTTGACCTTCTAAACTTCTTTATGAGGCTGAAAGCTCTGTTATGTATGGATGTGAAGCCTATCAATCAGCTAATTTAGATTTCTTAGAAATCTTCTTTATGACAATGTGAAAGCTTTTGCAGATATTTGTGAGATTATCATTTATAGCTACTTATCAGTCTTCTGTAAGTTTTTACACTGATGATGCAAACACTTAATCAGACTTCCTGTCCGTTGGGACAAGACTGTCATAGTTGTGATGAATGAGGTGCGCATCAGCAGCCCGTATCTCCCTGAATCTGTTATTGGAGGTACTCCTGCTGCAAATGAACGAGTGAAGAAAGTGGTATGATCCTAAAATAATGCCTGACCTTCATTATTTGCTTGTAATTTGATTTGATAAGTTAATTTATCATTTCAGACAGCATTTTTTTTTGGGGTAATGGCATAGAAACTTTTTCTTTTCTTTCTTCTCTCTCTCTCTCTCTCTCTCTCTCTCTCTGGGTAGACTATAAGTTTGTTAATCTACATTATGCGCAGTTGGGATTGTGTCTTTGTTAATCTACATTATGCGCATTTGGGATTGTGCCTTATAATGTATTATTACTTTCAAAAATCATTTAGGAGAAGCAAGAGAATATGTTTTAGTCAAGGAAACTTGTGCTCACCATGATCTTTTCTGTTCTATCTAGCATCTAACAATCTTTTTCTGGAAATCTAAGCCAATTTTTGTCGAACATTTAATTCATGAATCTTGGTTTTAGTATGTATTTCTGAATAATTATTGTGAGGTGAATGTATATGTTACACTGTAAGGAGAAAGATGGTGTCATCCTTCTTCTTGTTACATAAGTTTAGAGCAAGCAATTATATGTTTATTCCTTTCTAGTTCTTTTATCTTGCCTATTGTTGATTCTTTGTATTTACACCCTGTAGGTTGAGCTTGAGAGGAAGAGGTTGCAACTGCGCAGTACCAGTGGTCAGTAAGGTCCAACATTTGCATCTTTTTCCTGTCAGAAAGCTCGTCGTGATCGGAGGAAACATGATGGGTTGTGTTGCTTTTAGCGAAGCCCTGAATAAGAGGATTCTCCAAGGCATTCTTCTGACTACTGATATCTTTTGATTGTGCCTTCTTGAGCTCTCGAGTTGCTGTACGTTGCTGATGGAGTTCATTTGGGGTATTTCCTCTAGTTTCTTCATAAGAACAAATGCTAGAGTCGAATTTGTGATGTGTTTGAAGTAAAGAGGCTAAGAACCCAGATGAGGGATTGGGTTTTGTCATGTTATTCGCAGGTTTATCATGGCGAAGGTTAAAGGATTACAATGAGTTTCGTGAGAGCTCCAGATTTAGTTATCTTCCTTAGGCACTAAGCAGATGTACTCTTCATGAAGTTGGCTACTAGTTGGTTGTTGATTAACCGCTTTAGATTTAGTTTCCTTATAGTTTTATGTTGTGATATGATCTGCTCCTTCTTGGACTAACCAATGGTTGAACTTGCAGGGGAATATAATATGATTGATACAGGATAAAGATTTGTGTCATTCTATAAAAAGATATGCCTAGTTCATGGTGATTCCCTTATATTTAGACCCTTTCTCTGTATAACGATGAAAAGCAGTGTTGCTGATTCAAGACCTGGAAAGCTAAACTAGATTTTAGCGAATAGATTAAGCAATTTCCACTATTCAAGAAAATATGATGGTTACAGATTTTAAAAGGTAACATGTTTTTAACATCGTTCTTGGTTTTCAAAAGAAGTTTGGTTTTGAGATTAAAAAATTCTTAAATGAATTTAATGCATCACGATATCTATAGTTCATTTAATAAAATTACACTAATTTAATTAAATAAAATCTTAAGTTTTATTATTTTTTATGATTTTATTTTTATAATAGAATATCTATTTAATTTTTATATTTTCTCTATTTTTTATTATTTATATTATAATCAATTTATATTTAATGTTATATGAATATTATATTTTTATTGGATGAATCATAAATGGCATGGTGTATTAGATTTATTTAAGAATTTCTCTAACATACGTAATTAAGTAATATAAATTATGAATTCTTGATTTGATTATGATGCCGGATTCAAATATTTGAACTCGAGGTAGTTTGCATGTGATGTTTTGGATACTGCCTTTCCTTTAGAAAGATCCTTTGCTTTGGAAGGCGAACAATATTTTTGGAGAATTTTATATTGTGAGAATTACGCATAAATTCTCTATAACATAATTAAATTTCAAAATACATGAATAATTGTCAATAGATTTTCTGATATTTAATTATAGAGTTAATGATCATCCTAAATTTTAAATTATAGCGCGAATAGTTTACTGAACTTTGAGCTGCTAAAATGTGTAAAAAAATTTATTAACTTCTAAATTTTAAATGGTTAAAACTTTGCCATTAAGTTGGAAAAAAATGACTTATTTTTATAGTTGTAAAGGCTAATCACATATTAATGTGGCACTCATTTAACCCTTTAAAAATAATGGCTATTTTTTAAAAATTTGAGGCAGGATTTCAGGCACTTAAATTTAAAAATTAAAGATGATTTTTGCACATTTTCAAAATTCAGGATTTAAGATGTTATTTACGTAATAATTTCAAATCTAAAATGGTTATTAATCCTTAATTATATTGTGGAGAATCTTAAAAATATTTTTCCTTTTATATTTTTAGTAATGATTTCAGAGAGTGTAAGTGAGAAATCTTTGATTTTAATGAAACATGATTTGGGTAAGCTAGTCAGCAGACACTGTTAGAATGTTAACACAAATAACATAATATTTTATTCATTATTTGCATCGAATTAGAATAATGTAATATGTTAAGTGATTTTTTAATTTTAAATTATATAATCTATTATTCTAAATGAAGGAAGGATAAGAGAGTAACATGTATTTTTTTTTTTTTGTGGGGGAGGGGGGACCATCTAAATTATATAACATCTTCATTCTTTATTTGAATGGATCTCCCATTTTTCGTGTTTGCCAAGAAAACGACGTTCCAATCCGATCACGTGGCATCTAAGATTTGCACAATTTGAATATCCAACTCGACATTCTTCTTCTATACATATCCCTCATGCTCATGCGACACTTTAATTCAATATTCTACTTTGTCACCTTAACTAGTTATGTTCAACACTTTCTCTCGTCACGTTACAATTCATATATATAGATTTATAAATTCCCAAGTTAGGGGTAGGAATATAGTCTAACGTGGGGGAGACATTTTAAATATTGTATATTTGACTCTTGGGGTTTGAGTATTTTATAAATTGATCTGTATTCTCTTTTAAATTTACCTTTCTTATGCTTAATGCTTCTTCATGTGTTGCTAGCCACATAATCTTGTTACAGGAACTGGGCAATGGATTGGGAGGCGAGATAGGCTTTGATAATTGTGATGGCTTATAGTCGTAGCTAGAAGGGTTTAGTTAATTAAATAATCAGGTGAGAGATTATTATTAATTAATTAATTAAGCACAACCTAATAGATTGAGAGATTAATAGGATATTTTCACAACGAGGACTATTATAATTGTAAGTGTTGAATATAAAATTTGAATTAGCATCCTCAAAATAATAATTATAACTATTAGTCTTTATAGTTTTAGTATATTTTGTTGCTAGTCTTAGTATTTCTTTTTTTTCGTTGCTCTAAGTCTTTATAATTTTTCTTGTTTGTAATGTTACCTCCTTTATTTTTAAATATAACTAGAGGGATGATGATGTTGCACTAATGATATAAAATTATCTAATATCATTTCATTGCTCGTCGAACAAAGGTTAAGTTTTATTTTATTCTTTTTCATAGATTTTGAAACTTCACTTAATGAAATAAGGTTTGTTGTTAGTATTGTTACATAAACTTGGAACTCATCTTTTTGCCTCTGCGTTGGTTTTGTTCGCCACATCAAAATACTTGTTTTATGTTTTCTTCCTAATTTTGAAGCCATTGATGTTTTTGTTTGTGTGTGTTAATGTCGATGTTGAAGCTTATTTTGCCTTCATTCAATTTCTTTTGTGTGTATTTTGTGATTGCTCCATCTCTTTCTTATTTTAACTTTCAATGCAAGATTAATATTGTTAGTTACACATTAGATAATTGAACACCATTAATATCACATCATCATCCCTCTAGGCATATTTAAAAATAAATAGACTAACATTGTAGAAAAAAAAAAACTAAAAGAACCTGAAGTAATAAAAACAAAATACAAGAAGGGATAAAACTATAAAAATATAATTATATTTTTTTTTTCTAGATTATACAAAGAAATGGAAGTAGCAATGGTTGAAGCATGTGAGAAGGGAAAAACAAGCGTAGTAGCAAATGATGTGGTAGGAGAACATAGGCATGGAAACAGAAGGATCAAAGGTAGGGCCAGCCACAGTGGGGTGCAATTGGAATGATGAAGGAAGCTTTCACTTTAGATGAATGTACAAAGGAATGAATGATGGGTCAAACAGAAAATGGTTTGTTTTCAAGGAATGATGAAATCTAACAGCCGAAAGCAACCTAAAGGGGCTTTAGCAAAAGCTTATGTTTGTGTTTTGATGTATCAACCTTCAAATTTCTCTTCATCTGTCACTCTCCTTCCTATGTCTTCTGTCGGTCTCTATTAGCATCTCTTGTTGACTGTACTTACTTTCTCCGATCTAAATTTTACATTTTTTCAGTTAAATTTAACCTAAAATATAATACACTTGGTACTTTTTAAAACCATTGTTTTAAAAATTTACCCTTACATTAGTTAATGCAGACATAAGATTTAATTTACTTCACATTATATTCATTTATACCATATGCATTTAGTATATATCATTTACTTTATTCTATATCCATATTTAATATAGATTATGATAATTACACAGTTCCACAGCACATAGGATAATATGGAGAATGTGTCTATTATAAATTATTTTTTTAAGAAAAATATTTTTATAATTTTAACACTTATTTATAAAAATTATAGTATGAGATGCATGTGTTATTAGTTTTTTTTATAATAAAAAGGGTTAAGGACTAAAAGAAAAATACATATATTTTTTTTATAAAAGCAAAAAAATAACTATTTTTATTAATATGTAAAATATAGTTCAAAGTAGTATTTCACCCTTATTAAATATAAAAGAAACTACCATGGTTCTTTGTTTTTATTATAAATAAAACTATAAATTTCAAGAAACATTAATCATATTTTTCTTAAATTATTTTTAATAAATGGATGGTATAATTAAATTAAAGAAAAAGAGTAAACATTACTTACGAAAACATTTAAATCTAGACATTTTAATTTCAAACTAATTCTTAAGATTAATTACTTTTCTTCTGCTGTGTGAATCTGGTGGTAATTACGTTCAACTTTGTGTCCATTTCCATTGGATAATTAAATTGAATTATGGGACAGTGCGACTTCCTAGGCAAATTTTACATTATTGGCTGTCCTGGGATTGGACCAAAATACACAATTTTCAGAAACGCGGATGAAAGTGATGGAAAATCTTTGCACCCAGGGCAGAGGCAAATGTAACTTTTCTCTTTTTGATAAATTATAAATAAAATATATAAAATTTACAACTGTACACTCTTATTTTTCATATTTTATACTTTTAAATTAAATAAAAAATATTTATACTCGATAACTTATTTTACACTCTCTTATTTAAACATGTCAGCATTTTCATTAATTATTAGTTACATATCAAATAATTTAATAGTTAGTGTAATATTGTTGCCTCTCCGTAAATATTTAAAAGCAGAGGAATTAACATTATCTGCAAAAAAACAAAAAAATAGGTGGACTTGAAACATCAAAATGCACATCAATAACAAAATACAATAAAATTATAGGGACTAATAATTACTCTTTTCATTAAAAAATATAAAGCATGTTTTAAAGAGTTGAATGTTAAAAATGTAAGGCATTTGTAGTCTTTTAAAGTATAATCATTACTTTTTTTTTAAAATGTCCCTATTAATAACGAATTTATATTTATTATATGATATTCAATAAGGGTAAATATGAAAAGATGTGGTTAATTAAAAAGTAGGTAATTATCTTATTGGGGGTAAGATTCTATTAAGAATGCTTTACATTTTTGAACGAAGGGAGTATATTTTTTTCTAAAATCAATTAAATAGAGTTTAAAATCTTATTTTATATAAGAAAATATAAATTTTTAAAGATATTTTTTATTATTAAGAGAGAAAAAAAGAAAGAAAAATAAAGAGTAAAATACTAAGAGATAACTTTTAAATAAATTTTATTAATAAATTATTTTTAAAAAAATATTTTATATTAGGAAACATCAAATCAGTTGTTAAAAATAGGCAGTAGGGATGCTTCTAAAAAACGTAATTTTTTAAAAACCAAGAGAAAGTTTCCACTTATTCTCATCACATCCA